AAGTTGCAAGTCCGGGCTAAGGATCCCTGGGCAGCTGGTGATACAACAACCAGCTCTGGTCCAGGGCATCCAGGTGGGCTCACTCGCCTCTCACACTCACACCTCTGAAGAGCCACCAGCGCTGCCACATACCTGCCTTGGTGCACTGGGACTGCCGTGACAGAGCCCCATCGGTGAGGTGGCTGAAACAATAAACATTTACTTCTCAGGATCCTGGCAGTCGGGAAGCCCAGGATGGATAGAAGTGCTGGCAGAACCCATGTCTGGTGAGGGCCCAATTCCTGGTTGGAAGACCTCTCTGTGTCCCTTGTTCACACTGTGGTGAGCCCAGAGGAACCTGGAGGAGAGAAGCAGGCCTTCTGTTGTTTTGCTTTGCTCTGTTTTGTTTTTTGTTTGAGGTCTCGCTCTGTAGTCCAGGCTGGTCTTGACTTCACTGTGTAGCCCAGGCTGGCTTTGAACTGCAGATGTGTCCCAAGGGCTGGGATCACAGACATGCGCCACCACACCTGGCAAAAGCAAGCCTTCTTCTGCAACACTAATCCCATTCATGAGGACCTAGTTACTTCCCCAAGGCCTCATCTCTTAATGCTATCACATTGAGGGTTAGGGTTTCAACACCGGAACTTAGAGGAACCCAAACATTCAGTCCCTAAGACACCCTCAATCTACTCTCTCGGGATTCAGTGTCCACAGTGACTGTGACATGGCTCATGTCCCAGACCCCTGGTTGCACCGAGAGCAGGAGAGAAAGGACCTGCCCCTTAGTGGAATTGTCCACCAAGATTTCTCCCTGTGGGGAAAGATGATTTCTGAAAGGAAGTTGAGAGGTTACTGGAGAGGGGAGAGGGTGTTCTGCAGTCAAAATCGGCAGCTGTGCAGCCCAAGGGCTGCTGCAGGTTGGTACAAAGAGGACGGCTTTTAATACTGGTGAATCATACCATGCATATGCCAGGAGCAAATTCTGTGTGTTTGTAGGAAATTGGTTCTTGCAACAGCCTGTCAAGGGAGGTGGCACTGTGCCCATCATGCAGAGGGAGAGATAGAGCCTCAGACACATTAAGCAACCTGCTGGGATCTGCAGGGAAGGAGATGAGGCTGGTCTTTAAGTCTGTGATCGCCAACGTCCTTACTTACCACTTTCCCAGGCTTCATGGCTGAACCTCAAGGGGCTGAAACCACATTCTGCTTTGATGTAATCAAATAAATTAAAAGGAGTTCATTAAGGAAAGAGACAGAGGTGGGGTGAAAGGACCTGATCTTCTCCCGGGGAAGAATGGATCAGAGTCCTATCTGACCACCTTGGCGGGGGGGGGGGGGCCA